TCCAAATGACAAATAAAGTCTGTATAAGTCTCTAAGTCTAAGTCTGATATTCCACCACTAAAGAGCTGACGTTGCAGAGACAGATTCTGCTGAATTTTGCTCTTACTTCTAAGCTTTCCTGAAGGGGTTTCCCATCCTTGTAAAGACAGGGAACATAGCCAAGCCTCCAGCATCTTCTATTTTCCCACACTCATTCTAAATTGCTATCATTATCTCTTCTTGTCTAGGAGCCGTGGCAATTGTCTGTGTTTCTCCGCGCTCCAAGGTAAGACAAAACGCAACTTGAAATTGCAACAAAACAATGTGTTGTTCCGTCTGATCCATTTTGTTAGCAGACTAGAGTGGAGGATGGTGGTTGGGTGTTTTGCTCGCGCACTTGCAGTAGTGGAGTGAGTCAGTAAAAGTGTCAGACTGCCGTAACAGACGGCCTGCGCGAGATAATTAGCCTGGAGTCATTTGGAAGCTTCTCAGCTCTGCCCAGGTGCCCACAGTGCACAGAAAGAGACCAGACGACCTTTTACTCAGCTCCGTCCCACTGCAGTCACTTAAAACAGTGATGGATGTTTCCCTTAACACCGCGCTCCCTAAGGCGAAGCCTGGCAGGATCATATCGCATTATTCATCTCCACCCTGCCCTCTCATACTTATAATGAAGATTATTGTATGTAGAATTATATTAATATTTGAAAATGCATAATTCATTTTTTAGCAAACCTCTTCCTTTACCGATTCTCTCATCGATAACCAGAAGATTGAGGGGTAAATCCACAAATGGTGTAATTAATTTAAATAATAGTCAAGGGATGAGGAAATGTTATAATAAAGTTGTGCATATTCTGCATTTTAAGATGAAAGTTTTGGAGGACAATAAGGCTTTAATAGCCTCCATATCTGACATCGCAATGCCCAAAATGATCGAGATTCCATTGAACGTTAGGAACAGCAGTAAGTTAATTCAGCTTGACGTTTTATTAGTTGCGTCGCTCTATCCATAACTCACATCTCCCGCGCTCCCTAAGGCGAAGCCTGGCAGGATCATATCGCATTATTCATCTCCACCCTGCCCTCTCATACTTATAATGAAGATTATTGTATGTAGAATTATATTAATATTTGAAAATGCATAATTCATTTTTTAGCAAACCTCTTCCTTTACCGATTCTCTCATCGATAACCAGAAGATTGAGGGGTAAATCCACAAATGGTGTAATTAATTTAAATAATAGTCAAGGGATGAGGAAATGTTATAATAAAGTTGTGCATATTCTGCATTTTAAGATGAAAGTTTTGGAGGACAATAAGGCTTTAATAGCCTCCATATCTGACATCGCAATGCCCAAAATGATCGAGATTCCATTGAACGTTAGGAACAGCAGTAAGTTAATTCAGCTTGACGTTTTATTAGTTGCGTCGCTCTATCCATAACTCACATCTCCCTCCTCCCTCCTCCTCCTTTCCTTTCCACCGTCTCCAACTCCACCTGCTCACCTTATTTGTCCCTTCTCTCTCTCCTGTGGTCTTTTCCACAGTCATTCAGCCTTTTTTATCACTCTCTCCCCCATTCTCTCTTCTATTTGCTTCCAGGGTGATAAGAGAGGAAGAGGAGAGAAAGAAAAGTTGGTGGTGGTGGTGGTGGGCGGCTGGTGGGGTGTTGATGGAGAGCGGGGGGGGGGGCGTTTCCTGCCAGCACGGAGCAGAGCAGAGTCAAGCTCCCCCTCCCCTCGGCTCCTCATTAGTATGCGGCGGCTGTTGCTCAGGTGACACAGCCGCTGGATTCGGTCCCGACTGCGGGAACATCAGCAGCGTGGCGGAGAGCGGGATAGCAGGTAAGGACAATGAGAGAGAGAGGAGGAGAGAGGGATGGACTTCTTTTAAGGACGTAACACCCACACACATGCACACACTCGTACACTTTACGCTGCTGTAATGCACACACACACACACACATATTTTCAGGTTCAAGTCCAGCCTCCCTCCCAATGCCATATCTACAGTGAAGGACAGTACAAGTGTGTGTTTTCTTGAATTCAGATAAGTAATGCTATCTGCTGAGTTATGCTAGCTGAGATGCCGTAGTATTTGGGATCATGCAGTTTTCTCTGTTGATAAAATATTTGACTTGCTGTACGTTTCCAAAATGCATTCATTCACAAATAAGTTTCCTGTATTTTATGTGACAAACAATGTAATAATAGTAGTCTTTACAATATCTATTCCATACTGTAAATAAAGTGATTTCAATAAATGTCAATAAATGTTGAATGTGTTCTGTGCTTGGTTATTTAGAAATGTAATGTTTTATTCCATGTAAGCAAACAATGAAGGAATCCTGCAGCTTCGCCTTTTCATTGTTTTCACTTGAGAGGTTTTCATTCCCCTTGATATGTAGGATATTGGTTTTGTTGCCAAAGGCAACAAAGAGAGAGGTGTATTAGACAAATACTCATGTGTATGTGTGTGTGTGTGTATCAGAGGAAAAGAGAATACGAGGAGAGGGTAAGAAAGGGAGGAAAAAGAGTGTGTGTAGGTGTGCTTTTGTTTTGCTCTATTTGTGTGTGTGAGAGAGAGAACTAGAGACAGTGTGTGTGTGTGTGTGTGTGTGTGTTTGTGTGCGTTGGGGGAGCAGTGCGGCCAGGCTGCAGATATCATCCATCTCCCTGTCACCGGCCCAAGGGCTGCTGGGAAAGTGGCAGACAGCTCCCCGGCTCTGACAACAGAGGCTGCATCCTAATTTTCCGACACAGAATGCTTGAAAAACCTGCACCACTCCTCCCTCACCACCCAGTACGGAAAACCATTAACCCCGCGATCCGGGAACAAAGCACGGAGCTCAGCCCGGGCCACCGCTGGCTGCGCGTCCTATCTGCTCCCATCATCCACTAGCAACACTTTGCATGAACTCCGCTCTATAAAACATTCATAGCACCTTGGAGACTGCTGCGTTAAAGCTCCACATATCGAGCAACGCCATCAAACGAGTTCATTTCTTAAGTCACGTCTAACTAGGAGGTCATGTTACTGACTGATACTTGATGACACTGCAGTGATTTCATTTGTGCATTTTCAAAATAAAAGTCCTCCTGGCGATAACTGGATTACATGCTTTCTGGTTAGCCATGACTAATTGCATTATAAAGCTGTTGTCAGACATTCTATAGCTTTTGTTATATGCACCAGCACTTTTGATTTCCCATCTCTCCAAGTGTTTCAATTTCTCTGGTCTCTGGTCCTAGGAATCAAATAAGCACTGGCATGAGGATTACATTAGTACTCATTAACGTGTCCTGTGTGTAGCTGTAGGTGAGTTTTTTCCTGTTTAAGTTATTTGAGTTTGGTAGTGTTATCGTAAGTAAGGAAATTAAAAATCCTTCAGAAAACTTTAAGGCACATGGTTTTCGCAATCTAATTAACACAATGAATGATCTTTTTCATGAGCACTTATCTGAGTCCAACAAAACATATAATAGTGGAGAAATAGTGTAAATAAACAGTACAGATAAATAATCCCATCAGAGAGAAAACAGTATATTTGGAAATATATTTACAATACATAAATACACAAAAACTACTGAAATAGAATTGATGAATGTGTATATTTATGATGAGTAAAGCTTTTTTAGATCAATTTCAGCTCAATTCACTCATTGATAGAACATAATATTACATCCCACTGTCAAAATCTCAGCTGATAGTAACTCTGTCTCGTCCTAATGATGTTTCTGACTGACCGTCACCTGTGCCTCTTCCCGAACTGTGCAATATAAACATTTGTTCCTGGTAAATGTTGGAAATTTCATGAATTTCGCCTCAGAAAACGCCTGTGGAATAAAACTAATACTAAGAAGTCAATTTATGTTTGTTTTTCTTGTTTGTATGAATACAGAGTGAGATTTTTCCTTCCATAGCTGAGCAGACCATGCTAGCATTTAGCATTCAGAGGTGCCATCCTTTGAATAAAACAGATAAGACCACAAGAATCATCTGCTCTGTCATGAATAATGTGTCTAAATTTCTAAATATTTATACATACATTATAATAAGGTATTGACAGAAGACTGCATATCACATGGTAATACACAATAAAAGATTTGAGACAATTCAACAGTTTTGATTCGAGCTGTCATAACATGAGTTTGATTTTGTCCCAGATTAGGGCTGGTATGGGACTGGCTGCTGTCAGGGCTTTAAAGGCTATGAATGGAGGATCAAAGGCCTGCTTTAGATCTTTGATTATTGTTCACAAATCAGTGGAAAACGCTGGTGGGATCAAACACATTCGTACTGAACAAACCATCCACATGTTGGGTAGGAGGTAATGTATGTTAGTCAGCAGCCACTGTAGCCTACACAGAGGAAATACACCCGTCTGCATACTTATGTTAACAATAAAGCAGAAAACTACATGAGCCTTTGCTTCCCATTATGTCTCCTGTACATCAGCTGAATGCGTGTAAGTTTGAAGTGTGACAACAGAATGTGTTTCAAAGACTCAAGACAAGTACTACAAGACAATATTATTATCAATTATGTCAATACAGAATAGTGAAGGAATTAACATTTCATTGTCATAATTATCTCCTAATTTAGCATTTTTAAAGGCCCCCTCCAGTCAAAAATCACTGTTTGTTCCTGTTCCTACAGTGTGATGTTTGAATGCTGTCTGTGCAGAGTTTGACTCTAGAAGGATGTTTTCACATTCATCTGCTGAAAGTGGAAAGTTTCTCTGTGCTCATTGAAAATCTGATTTTAAGGGGCGGGGCCTACCAGCATGATTTGTGACATCACAATAGTTAGGAGTCAGTCCTGGTCCAGTTGCGACTTGTAGCAGTGGTGATGTGGAAACTTAAAGACACAGTGCACACATCACTGAGAATGACTTTACAGTGAGTAGGAGACATCTTGTGTCCACGAGCAGCAGAACTTTAGAAATGAACCACATTTGTGTATTCAGAGATTCTGGAAGTTTTAATGAGGTAGAAGAAGATTTTATTTTATTTTATTAGCAGAAAAACATATCAGACATATTATTGTTCCAGGCAGACTATTTGTATATGTGTCTCAATATATGTTTCGATGGGATTTTTAAGAAGTTGTTTAAATTATTTAAAACACTATAATGTATTTGTAGATTATTAAAAGACCATTTGTAAGTTATGTATATACAAATAATGAATGAATGACAATAAAGGATAATAATATCTTCATATTTAAAGCTGCAGTAGGTAATTCTTATAAAAATAACTTTTTTTTATTAAATATGAATATTTGCTGAAACTTTATCAGTAAATAAATGAAACTGCGAATTAAACTATCTTTCTCAGCTCTGATTGGTTATTTTCGTTCCAGCCCAGCATAATCTTGCAAATACAATTAAGACTAAAACAAAACCCAGAGAAACCAGATTTTTTCACAGATTATCTGCCTCATGTACTACTGTCAGGATATAGTGCGTTTCAGCAAATATGACAAAAAGTTATTTTTATAAATGACCCTGAATGACCTGCTGCAGCTTTAATATAAATACAGAATATATAGTATTGATCTGTTTTATTTACTCATATGTACTTACTTATAAACGCTTCTTCACTCTCTGGCAACTGAGCAAACTCCATCTGCTGATGAAGGCCACCGGCATCCCGGTAACCGCCGTGGGTAGGTGCTACGCACAGGACAGGGAGGGTTCAATGTGCTAAATGTGCTGCATTAATTGTTTACTCTTGTTGTTATGTCGTNNNNTATCTATGTATGTATGTCTGAAAGTTACGTACAGACGCGGTGACAAATGTCCTGTGAAGGACAATAAAGTATCTATCTACTATTACTGAGATGCAGCTGAAAGCTCCAGAGGAAATTTAGAACAGTAAGTGGCCCTTGAGTTAAATGTTTTTTACTATTCCTAAGGTCAAAAATCAACCTCTGAGCTCAGTGTGTATATTTAAACACGTGTGTATATATAAATAAATGTGCTTATATCAGCTTACAAATACATTAAAAACAATTAATTGTTAATATACTGCTCATAAATACTAGTAGTAGTAGTTAAAGTGTTTGAATTTTACCAAAACAAATTCTACTAAGTTGCTGTGTTTTGGAGGGTCACAGGTTAAAAACAACCCAGGTAAATGGATTACTGTGAGATCCTCTTCAGCAACTATGCTGCATTCATGTCATACGGGTCAGAGAGTAAATAAGAGCTTCTTGGTATTTGAGAAAGCCATTCAGCTGAGCTTTTGGGTCACCAGAACTGAGGCTCAATGGCGCACTTTGATTTCTCTTCCTCAGTCCTGGTGTCAAGGAAAGGAAAACAAGGAAGGCAGAAAATGATACATTCAGCTTTAAATAAACCAAAAAGAACTGTATGACCTCAGTCACTTTTTGCTGACATGAAAAAATAGCACACGGACGTACAACTCGCTGGATTTGTCATTTGTGGTTTACATTTCTATGTTTGGCTTTCTGTTAAACACGAACTCCGTAACCAAGTGCACATGTGAAAAAGCTTATGAGGAGAATCCAAAACCTACAAGTGCAATCACCATCTTTAAAGCTTCAAAGTGCTTCAAATCCGAACCTTTCCAATTCTTAGCCACCACATAATTTCCCCACATGACATGAACGCAGCATGATGCC